GCTGAATGAAGTAGGGACCCCATCGCCGAGTCAACACACGGGAGTTGACAGAGATGCGTTCTCCTCCCACAGCCTGCAGTTCCATGTCGGCCATCTCTGGCAAGGATTGAGCAAGCTTGCCTAGCTCGTCTGATGCGGCAGACAATGGCCGTCCACCAGACGTCAACTGCATCAGCTTCTTCTGCAAAGACGCTGGAACAGAAGACGAGCTATAAGACTTATACCCCGAAGTTGGTGAAGTGCGACATGGGTTGTTGTAGAGTCCAAATGCCTCCAACTCAACCAGACAAACATGAGAGAAGTTGATTCGCCGGTGGTTGTAATCATCGACAAGACTTCGCTTCCGGTGTCCAAGGATTACAAAAGAATTGCGACGAGGCCAAAGCACTCCTCGGTTCCAGCTTCCATGGCCAAATACGGATCCACCAGCATCAATGCGTCCCCAGGTCAGTGTCTTCAAGTCAAGGGCCCAGAGTGCATATTCCTGCTTGGAAGAGGTCAAGTATGTACCGCTCACAACAAAATGGCCATTGATGATACCACCGTTCGGGAAGCGCAGCCCCGGCGGAGATGCCTGGCTTTGCATCGGCCGTTCAACAAGGCGCCCGTCCGGCAGGCGCACCTGCAGCTCCAGCTTGACATCCAGGAAATTGTAGTTGGAGTAGATAAGCATAGGGCAACCAGCAGACTCGGTGTTTTCAATAGGTTCATGCAGATCGCGATCTGGAGAAGAGGAGCCAATTTCAGATACATCCATCCCTACTAAAGGAGCCACGACACTGCGGTAGGCACCGCAGCTCCGGCCCAGGGGACTTGTGTTGGTCCACTTAAGACTGCGCAGATTGAACACACTGATCTGCTCAATATAATGATTTGAACTGTCTTGACCACCGACAACCACCATCTCTGCACCACCGAACCCGTCAATGTCCACACCAAGCGTACCTTGGTGAGTTGAGGACTCAGGGTTGTGATGGATGGCGGATAGCGGCGCGCTAGCAGATGTGAAGCACGCGCTCGATGGGAGTATCGTAGCACAGTGCGCGTAACGGCCCTGTGGAGATTCATGAGCAGCGACACGAGTCCATGCCCGAGATGGCACGTCGAAAATATGAATATCCGACATGACCACCACCTCCGACTGCGACTGCGACTCCGCCCCAGGGTTCTCTGGGTCCTTTGGCATAATCGGCGCCGGCGACATGCCTCCATAACAGACCAACTTGTTATCACCCAGAGCACAAACACTGTGGAAGTACCGCGGCGGCGGCACATCCCCAGCAGGCTCGATTTTCGTCCAATGGCGCCGAATCAGATCCAACTCGTAAAGGTCCGACGTCAACTGCGGGCGACTGCGCGAGAGGATCCGGCCTCCGAATACGTATAGTTTATCGCCCAGAATTGTCGTCGTCGCGCCCACAAGGGGATGGGGCTCCTTGCCGGTCGTTCGTCGCACATTGCACACCAGCCCGGAGAGGTTGATAGGGCCCGACGCAGACTGGTTTAGCGATGGAGATCCTCCCGCTGCTGAAGGCTCGTCTCGCCCTGAATCCATGTACCCCAAACTCGACTGGCTTCGCGACATCATGGTAGGCGATTTTCCTGTCCCCACTTATCTCTGGCAGCTGTTGGCGTTGGCACCCCCTTTTTTAGTCCACCCTGTCGAGATCAGATCTCTCGCATGGGACGAGGTCTCTGTCGGATGCACTGGTGTGTAAGCCGGGAAATATTTCCGTCGGTGCTGATCGTAGGTTACGTCGAAGGGTTCCCTTGTCTGTGGGGAGCGGAAAAAAGGAGTGGCTTCCCCGCGTCGACGCCGCAATTTTGCGGACGCCAAGCTTCGCAAGGAGGAGGACGATATGGTAGATATGAAGAGAGCGGGTTGCGAGTCGTATTCCCGGTGAGCGAAGAGTATTGGAAGTGCCAGAATGTCGAAGTTGATCCGGCACAAAAAAAGGCGGTCTCAACCTTTCCTAGATGGGTTTGGGGTACCACACGCTAAGTATATTGCTTGCTCAACCCTTGCGCACAACGCTGTGGAACTAATCAAAACTCTTCAGTGTAAATCCCGACTGAACTCTTACTTTCCAACTGCTTCACTAGGCCTTACATTTATAGATATCCTGTGGGGCCACATGTGCGCAAAACACAGATTACACGAGGTTTTAAGTTAGATCCGAAACCGCTAGATACAATTTGGAAAGTTCTCAGACAATTCCGTCTGGAATATTCTTCCGTTTAGTTTGATAATACAAAAAGTTAGAAAAGGGGAGAGAGGAAAAACGAGGTAAAATGTATACAATCGACCTCGGGGTATACTCATACCGAGCCCCGTGGATTTACTGTGATGTATCTTCATTCTACGTAAGGAGCGTAGTACTACTACTCTGGAGACTTTTGAATACTTCATAAATGGCACTGTAGTGCCGAATTCGTATCGCATTGGTATCAAGAAGGGCTTTGGCCCCTAACTATCCCAGTATCTGTTTTAAGTCTGTCATAACGCATTTACTCCTTGATGTTGACGAAGCGGAGGTAACTGGAAACATGTTAGTCGGTTGTTTCGCCGGGAAGAATCATGTCTTGGGAAAACTTACGGCTTGACCGTACGGACTTCACCGAACTTGGCCTCGGCGTCCTCGGTCTTCATGGGAGGAGGAAGGACGTTGTCATCGCCGGGGAGCCAGTTGATGGGGCAGGTAACACCGTACTTCTCGGTGCGCTGAAGAGCATCAACGACACGGAGAACCTCGGCGGTGTTACGGCCAGTGGAGGCGGGGTAGGTCATGATCAGACGGATCTTCTTGGCGGGGTCGATGATGAAGACGGAGCGGATGGTCAGAGCCATACCCTTGGAGTCGACGTTGGTGGTGTCCTGGAAGTCGACCATGTCGTACGCATAGGCGACCTTGCGCTCGGGGTCGGAGATGATGGGGAACTTGAGCTGGGAGCCGGAGACCTCATCGATATCCTTAATCCAGGCGTGGTGGGAGTCGGTGTTGTTGGCGCTCTAAAAGGGAATTCGTCAGCCTCACTCCTTGCAATATGGGCTCATATTACTTACCAGGCCAATGAGCTGGACACCACGAGCAGTGAACTCGGGCTCGAGCTTGGCGAAAGCACCGAGCTCAGTGGTACAGATGGGAGTGAAGTCATCGGGGTGGGAGAAGAGGATGGTCCACTTGTCGCCAATGAACTTGTGGAAGTTGATAGGGCCGTTGGAGGTGTCGGCATCGAAGTCAGGGGCAGTAGAGCCCAGACGGAGGCTAATAGACAGTCAGCTTGGGGATCAGAGAGCTATACAGTATATCGATAGACGTACGGAGCAGCGCGTTCAGCCATTGTGATAGTGATAGTCAATTGAGGTAACTTGAGGGAGACAAGAGAAGGAGGAGGGGTTTGGGTTCATATAGGAGCTCCCAAGGTCCATTCCCGTCCATTCCCCTCCATTGGATCACTGATCGCCTTACCTCATCCGGCTGTTGCGCTCCCTATACGATGGCGTGATTGTCCCACCGCCCGGGCAGAAACCCCGCGATTGGCCTGCCGCAACGTGGGCTGTTTAGTGCGATACGAGGTTCTATACAATTCTATCCTTCTTCTTACCCCAGTTAATACCCATCTTGCTGTTACGTCTTACAGTAGTCCCTTATACAAGTGTCGTTTTATATAGCTTTTAGCTTGAATCGGACATATGTTGTCTTAGAACTACATGATAACCCTTTCTTCCACTCGGGATTACCTGCCGGCCCTTTGGCAGTCAGCCCCCGAGTCGGCCGACTGGGCTTTGACAAGAACCAATGGGGATTCAAAGGAGTGGCGCAATCTTATGTCGACATGGTGAATGCTGCATCAGACATGACTGTGGCAGATCGCTAGATCACGCACTGCACACAGCGAGTGGCTGAAGGTTGTTTTACTATGTTTCTTGACTTCCTACTCATGCAGAGGTACCTGACCCTGCGAACTTGGATGAACCGGACGAGCTATGACCCACGTGGTGGGGCGGATATCTACATGCGTCCGTTAAGCTGCATCCAAGTTTAATGCCACTTTCTCTTTCCGAGTGAACTATGTTACATCATCAATTCCTCGATCGGTCGTTTTTGGCAGAAAGTATTTCGCTTAGTATACATAGCAGAATTGACTACAGGGTTCACTAAGTACTTGTTTTCCAGGGAGATGGATTTAGTAATAAGCTTAATTGGTCCTGTGCTTGGTACTCCAGTCACTTGAGATCTACCGACGGATCACGTCGTTCTCGGGGAAATTTATACATACCTATCTACTTGATAAGGTTGAACTTTATAAGGAATGCGCTTGATTGGCCCGTTAGCAATGGATCTACAATAGCGTTGTTCTGAAAACGTTTGTTTGTATCTCTGAGGTTTTCCATACAGAACCCTTCTTATGGGAGACCTATACCCCGGACTAGACCGTATGTTGTCGATATGTTGCTGTAGAATGTACCTCTGTTTTCTAGATAGACCTAAAGATCAAAATTACAATGGTCAGTAACTGAAGCTCAAATTGCGCCTTGTCGCTTTGAGATGGATATGTTTCTTCTCTCAAGTTACCCTTTCCAACATGCAATATATAACGCACTAGTTAGTTAAATTGAAGAACACAACCGAAATAACCCCTTTCCTCCTTGGTTTGTGTAATTCGTAGCATTATTATTTTTTTAGTAAACGACAGCCGACTGGCATCAGATTGATATTTAAATACGTGTTTGTAAACAAATATGATCCTCACTGTTGTACTTTATTCATGATCGACCGATCACGTGTGCCCCAGACCCACAACCGCGTCGAGTTGGTCTCAGTACAAACAAAGCTTCACGCCAGTCGTTCTGGCGCTGGTCTTCGTTTACAGGGCTCGAAACAGCTTGCACAGCTCGAATTTGCAAAGTGTACGGGTTCCTTGAGTATTTAATTTCCACCCCGTGCATCTATCCCATTTCGCATCTTTCCATCGTGGTGGCACCTCCAACCGCCATAATGCCCCCGAAGCGCAAGTCTGTCGCCGCGACAAGCGCAAATGAAGGCACTGCAACCCCCGCAAAAAGAATGCGCAATTCTGTAGCTGCTACCCCAGCTTCTGCCCCAGCGGCTCCTCAGGTAAGTGCATCATGCAGGGGCTGATCGTCACTGTTCCGTGGTTGCTACTCCACGACCCCACTCACGCAGGGCTGACCTCTTGTGTATAGGTCGAAATTACTCCCCAGACTGGTGAGAAGAGAGGTCGTGGCCGTCCGCGCAAATACCCCGAGGGCTCGACTTCCAAGCCTCCTGCTTCTGACGGCCCCAAGCGTGGCCGCGGCCGTCCTCGAAAGATTGTCGCGGAATCCGAGCCTGATGCTGGGCCTGAAGCTACTACCCCATCTGCTCCCAAGAGAGGCCGTGGACGTCCTCGCAAGGAGACTGGTATGTATTCATTATAACATAATCGGGGACTTTTGCTGATTCACTACGCTTTTAGTCTCTGAGACGGTTGCAACTCCGGAGATTAAGAAGAAAGATGGCCGTGGAAGGCCTCGCAAGGAGCCTGGTATAGGATTAATGCTCTAATATGATCGGGAACTTTGCTGACTGTCCATCTGTCTTAGCTTCCGAGACGCCTGCAACCCCGGAGATCAAGAAGAAAGATGGCCGTGGACGGCCTAGAAAGAACCCTGCACCAAATGGCGAGCCCGAAGCTCCCGAAGCTTCCGAGGCAAAGGCAGCACCGGCGATTAAGAACAATGTCGCCGATATTAAGCGTTCTTTCTGGCTTATGAAGGCTGAGCCCGAATCACGCATGGAGAAAGGAGTTGATGTGAAGTTTTCTATTGATGACTTGGCTGCCAGAACTGTGCCAGAGGCCTGGGACGGTATGTTTGCCCTATAGTCGACATAATCAACAAAGCTAACCAAAGAAAAGGAGTGCGCAACCATGTTGGTAGGTTGATCGGTTGACAAACATTGGTTCCGCAAGTCATACTTACAATGCAACAGCGCGCAAATCTATGCAGGAGATGAAGAAGGGGGATTATGCATTCTTCTACCATTCAAACTGCAAGACCCCCGGAGTAGTCGGAGTGATGGAGATCGTCCAGGAATCTTCCGTTGACGGTACGTGCCTTTGTTCCACACCTGCATGCTTCCATCTCTAACACATTGACTACGACAGAATCTGCCTTCGATACCAAACACCCCTACTACGACCCCAAGTCCAAGCGAGATGACCCGAAATGGGTTGTCGTGCACGTCGAATACCGCCGCAAGCTCGGCAAGCAAGTCACCCTCGCGGACTTGAAGTCGCACGCCCAGCCCGGGAAGCCGTTGGAAAACATGCAAATGCTCAAGCAGTCCCGCCTCAGCGTTTCCTCCGTTACCCCGGCTCAATGGCAGTATATCCTGGAACTGGCAGGCGAGGAGCCACTCGAGGAGTTCACCAAAGTGGAAACTGGCGAGGAGAAGGCATGAGGAAGCAATCATATGCAAGCGATGTACAGACGGTTTTGCCTGTATAGTCTTTCGATATCTCTATCAATGGCGTTGCCGGCGAATATGGGTTCTCTGCATTATCTGCACTAGCGAATTGAAGCGTCATTTTGATATTCAACACCAAGTCTACACTTATTTATAGGGCAAGATATCCGGAGCTGTGCGAAGCGCGGCTCTTCGACCACGACCTCTAGGAACAGTCATATGTAGTTGGCTTCTCACGTACGGAGTATATGGTCGTTTTTAATACTACCGATAGCCTTTAGCTTGCTATGGACTGCCTACGATTATTAGGCGCTGCACTTGAACTCCAGATAGCCAAAGGAATGGCCTAGAAAAAGGGTAGTATATAGGCGATGTTCGCGCACATCCTATCAGATGTACACATTAGCGACCATAGTTGCCAGAATATTTCCGTTCTCCCCCGATCTATCCACTCTCCATCCAGCACATTCAGCACACGACACACCTCCCAATCCAAATCCATGACTGAACCGTGACACAAACCCCGGAACCTCCCCAATTTGCATCCGCATTTCCGCTAGGTAGACAGGTTCCACCGCATCCCAATTATTTCCAATTCAAGCGACCGTTATTCGTTTTGTGGAATCGAGCTGTCATGTACCACCTTGAGTAAGGAATATAGTCGATCCCTGCATATTGGTGCAGGCGAGCTGTAAGGAGCCGCGGCTCATGGCTGTCACATCCGGGATCTAAGTTTGTACTCGATGGCTTCGATGTGTCAGGGGTGTCGGAAACAAACGGCGGAGTTAGGACGAATGGATCGGGATGATATCGTCCGCATTATGGCCCTTCGGAGAGTTTGATGTTTCAACTCAGGTTTGAACCTCGGGCTATTGATAAGCTGGAGTGAGGGGAAGGTCCAAAGGGCTTCAACGCCGAAGCGGATGGGATGACCAACCAGAGAGGAATGGAGAGACAAACAGGACAAACAGGAGCTGGAAGAAGAAAGTGTATGCGATGTGGATTCTTATCGTTATCAGGTGGGGGAAAGGGCATCGGGTTCCCTTATAGCATCTTCATCCTCTCTATGTTTGCCAGTTTGTTCTCTCGGCCCCTACGCTGTCTATATCGATCTCCTGTTTTCAGTGTTCGTCAATTCCATAGCTCCCCTTTCGTTATGTCGAACGTTTCCGTGCAGTTGACTGCCCCCAATGGGCACAGCTACACTCAGCCCATTGGTCTGTTCATCAACAACGAGTTTGTGGCTGCCAAGTCTGGCGAGAAGTTCGCCACTGTGAACCCTTCGTATGTTCAGCAGGAGTCTAGACCATTGATCTTGAGCTGACCGGATTCCATAGCAATGAGACTGAGATTACGTCAGTGTATGCTGCCGGCGAGGAGGACATTGATATCGCTGTCAAGGCCGCCCGCAAGGCTCTTAAGGATCCCTCCTGGAAACTGCTGCCTGCCACTGACCGTGGTGCTTTGATGATCAAGCTCGCTGATCTGATTGAGCAGCACAAGGAGACTCTGGCTACCATTGAGACCTGGGATAACGGTTAGTAGCTTGAGAATTGCCATGCACAAACCCAATATTGATAACTGACAATCGTTCAGGCAAGCCTTATCAAGTTTCTCTGAATGATGATCTCGGCGAGGTCACCAACACTCTTCGTTACTATGCTGGCTGGGCCGACAAGGTGTTCGGCCAGACCATTGGCACCACCCCTGCCAAATTCGCATACACCCTTCGTCAGCCCATTGGTGTTGTTGGCCAGATTATTCCTTGGAACTTCCCTCTCGCTATGGCAGCATGGAAGCTTGGTCCTGCCCTTGCCTGCGGTAACACCGTTGTCCTAAAGCCTGCCGAGCAGACTCCGCTCAGCATTTTGTACTTGGCTTCTCTTATCAAGGAGGCTGGCTTCCCTCCTGGTGTCATTAACATTGTCAACGGCCATGGCCGTGTTGCTGGTGGTGCATTGGTGAACCACCCCAATGTTGACAAGGTCGCCTTCACTGGCTCCACCTTGACCGGCCGTGAGATCATGAAGATGGCCGCCGGCACCCTTAAGAACGTGACTCTCGAGACCGGTGGCAAGTCGCCCCTGGTTGTTTTCGAGGATGCCGACCTCGAGCAGGCTGCTAAGTGGGCTCACATTGGTATCATGTACAACCAGGGCCAGGTCTGCACTGCCACTTCGCGTATCCTTGTTCACGAGTCCGTGTACGACAAGTTCGTTTCCCTCTTCAAGGAGGTCGTCAAGACCACCAGCAAGGTCGGCGATCCCTTCTCCGACGACACCTTCCAGGGTCCTCAGGTCACCAAGGCCCAGTACGACCGTGTCCTTTCATACATTGAGGCCGGCAAATCCGAGGGCGCGACTCTGGCTTCCGGTGGTGTGCCATACAAGAACGTCGGCGATGGCCGTGGCTTCTTCATTGAGCCTACCATCTTCACCAACGTCAAGGACAACATGCGCATCTACCGCGAGGAGGTCTTCGGCCCCTTCGTCACCATCGCCAGCTTCACCACCGAAGAGGAGGCCGTCACCCGTGCTAACGACACCACTTACGGACTGGGCGCTGCTCTCTTCACTCGCGACATTGAACGCGCACACCGTGTCGCCTCTGACATCGAGGCCGGTATGGTTTGGATCAACAGCAGCAACGACAGCGACTTCCGCGTGCCCTTCGGCGGTGTCAAGCAGAGTGGTATCGGTCGCGAGCTCGGCGAGGCTGGCCTGGACGCGTACTCGCAAGTCAAGGCCGTCCACGTCAACATGGGCACCAAGCTGTAAATGTGTTACAACTATGAGGAAAACAGGTTATCATTTATTTTCATGTATCCAAACTCAGCCTTTATGTTTAATGACCAAATCTTGTCTAACGTTATCCACTTTCCATTGTTTCCGCAAGCATGACATACGCAGATCTCCCCAAGGGTTTCCCCTACTGTTTTTCTTCTCTGACCTATAGATCCTCCATTCAGATCGGCAATCACGACAATCTCAATGTCATAATCTCCTTCGCTCTCTCTCTGTGAAATGAGTTACCCACACCAGCTCCACAAACACGACATGAGGATCCCCCGCAAAAAAGGAAAAACGGAAAAAAGGAGCGACACTTCCGAACTCTCCGATAGTGGGGACATACTCCTGTACCCAAGGGCAACCTGTAATCTCCCCAGCACCATGTACATGTAGATCAGGCCCCATCACACCATATGCATGCAGTTACAGGTTTATATGTATATGATGGCGCAGGGAAGCCAGAAGCGACCCCCTGTCCCCAATTCCGAAGTGGAATCAGTGCCGTGTCGATTTGTGTTTTATCTTGGCCTCAGCGCATGTCCATCACCGCATATTTCCATGACTGGACCTGAACACAATCCTGCAGTTGATGCCCAACCTGTTCCCGACACATGCGATGACTGCATATGCAAGCGTTACCTGGCACGGGGGCGAGATTTTGAGTTAGAGGGACACGGGATGTCGACAAAGTTACTTGGAAGTTGGGATGAGCCATGCACTATCTGATTATCAATTTTATTATCTTATATAATATGGATCTCATACTTTATGCCTTTATGCAGTATATGTAAGTTAGATCTACCGCCGATTATAATCTTCTAAGGTTATAGTGTATAGTGCCCGTAGGCAAGGTAATACAAGCAGAAACATGGTGGCCCAATTTTCGAGTCAGGCAGGAACTGGGAACTCCAGGTTCCAGGTTCCAGATCTCCCTAAGCGCCAGCTCATCTCGTGCGTCTGCATGCAGAGTTGGTCATGTGAAAAGCCACCAGGGAGAACAGTGATGAGTTGTTCAAACTATACTTCTTTGACTATCTCGAGCATTAGTGTATAGTATATGGGCTGCACGAATTGATATACTGTACTTTGTACTTTGGGAATGATTCGCATTGCAGACAATGTAGACCTATACTCCTGCAGACCATCTTGTCGTACGAGTGCATCTCGGGTTGTGGGGGTCTTGGCATCATCTCACCTTCCCCTTCTCCCCCATTCGTGCCACGCAGTTCGCTTCATCTTACTTTACTCTACTCTGTACAGCCCTCAAGGTTACGGGCCGGGTTGATTTCGCGATCGGCGCTGCCAACTGCCAACATTTAACTTTTCAGGTCCACAGGATTCTCCCATTCTCTAGAACCAAACCCCTCTCTTCCCAAGTAGCGGTGTCCATCAGGCACCGATCGGCGTCATGTCTGAAATTCAGAGATGGACGGTGAATGAGGTCCGTATTGTGCATATGCAATTTGCCGCCTTTTCTTTTATTTCTTGCTTTTTTTGGTCTTTTTTTTTTCGATCCTATTCGATGTCGGTTTTCGTGTCGGATGTCGGTCAGACATGAATAAATGATTGATCCTTCCGAGCTTCCCACAGGAAGAAAGACAGGGAAAAAAAAGAAATAACAGTCCAATCAGAAAATCACGCACAGTTTAATGTACATGCACTAATTTGTTCAGCCATACCTCGATATCCCAGGAACATTACTCGAGGGCCCCTATCACGATGCAGCCAACAACGAATTCCGTTTCGTCGATATCTGGGACCAGAAGCTTTACCGCCTTGATCTGACCAAAGGCCCGGACTCCCTTAGAATCATCGATACCGCAGCTTCTGTTGGGTGGGTTTCAACCGTTTCCCCAGTGGAAATTGGGCTGACAGGAATATTAGCGTGACCGCCAATATCAGCGGGTCAAATCACCTGATTGTTGGGGCCAAATATGGATTTGCGCGGCTGAACCAATCTACCGGAGAGCTTTCCTATATCCATGAGGTCTGGGGCGAGGAAGGGGAAGGGGGGAAAGCGGAGAGGTAAGCCACTTGTTCCCCGATGAACGCCGATTAAAAATGAAAAAAATAAAAGCTAAATAAATAGAATGCGTTTCAATGACGGCGCAGTCGATAGCCACGGCCGGTTCTGGGCAGGTGCCATGAACGACCCGAAGATCAAGAACCCGGAAGCTGAAGGCGTTCTATTCAGACTAGACCCAG